TAGTGCCACAACACAAGCACATTGTTTTCCTCTTCCTCTCTTAATTCCTCTCTACTTGGTAGTAGGACTGTGGTATGGAGTGATTTAAGTGTGGATAAAATCTGCCCCCTGGAAATGTTAAGCCCCAATGTGGGATGGGAGTAGGGGTGGACAACTCCCAGGATTAAGGGTTTACTGTCTGGGTTAATCATGAGGCCCTCTGGGGGCTGCAGGGGGGCCCTGAGCAGGAGCTCTGTGTGTGCTTGGCTTCCTGATGTGGCAGCAAGCCCCACGCCCTCTGATGGCTGCCTTTCATAGCAAGGACACTGTTCCTGGGGTGGAACCCTGGTCCCCCTACAACCCTGAGTCTCTATCTCCCCTGACAGCCATTTGGAATGGGTATTGAGAAGTTAAGGAGGCCTGCAGTTGCCTCATCTCATAGCTGCTACTTGACCCCCAAGTGAATTGAGCCACATTCCCCAGAATGGAGGATGCAAGCTGCCCAGGGTTTGGGGCAGGCCGGCTGGCAGATCCTTCTACGTGCTAGTGCTGTAGGATTGCATCACAAACCAGGCATCTGATTCCACATTGCGCTGCAAAGGGCACATTTTTGTTTGATGAATTGTGTGAAGACACTGAGGTGGAGGGAATAGTTACTGTGGCCCCTTGGGTCCCACGCAGTCACTATGGAGCTGTCCCCCTAGCAAGCCCCGTGAACTTCTCTGAGATCCATTTTCCTCCCCATTTGTAAAATGAGGGGGAGTGGACTAAGCGCGTCCCTTTCTGTCACATATGCCTGTGATTTAAAGCCTGCTTCCCACGGAGGCGGGATGAGATCCCAGATCGCATTGTCTTTTTTTGTTCAGCTTCTCTGTTTTTGGACACGCAGAACAGGGAAAGGGAGAATTCTAAAGCCTCTCGAAGAACAGTTATCTTCTGCAAACTGCCTAATCCTCCCCACCCCCTCGTCCCCATTGCTTATGACAGGTCGTATATTTGATTACGCAAAGCAAATTGGGAAATCGTATCTCCGCAATCCCATCTGGGATTATTTATTTCGCCGCGTCCGCAGCCGGTCAAAATTGTGAGACGATACAATGTTAAAAGGAGTTTACCGCGCGAGGAGGTGGACTGAGTTCTTTTTCTGAAGAAACCAGAGCCATAATCGGTTACAGCTCCAAAAGTCATTCATCAGTGCAGCGCTGCGTCAGGTGATGTAGCGAGGCGACTCAGACTGGCGGTGGAGGGCAGGCCTCATGTCCAGGCCTCCGCAGCTGGAAAGTCGGGCGGGGTCGGAGGAAATTGGCCTCGAAGCTCCCAGCCTCCCGCTCTTTGCAAGCCAGTTCGTTGGGTTAAAATGGTAAAACTAATACAACAACAACAACAATAACACCACCACCACCACCACCACCCCCAAATACTGAATGTTCAGTGTGGGCGGGTCACCGAGCCAGGGGGTCTCCGCACATCATATCCTTTAAGGTTAACTCCATTTTGCAGTTGTGGAAAGTGAGGCACCGAGGGAGTAAGGATCCTCCTCGCGATCCCCCAGCCAAGGAGCAGCAGATCGGGCATTTTAAGCCCCCGTGTGCCAGGCCGAAACGCGGGCGCTCGGCCTCCAAGCCATATTGCACTCGCGGAGCCTGGGCCCCAAAACCCGCCCAGGGCCCGCTCCACGCGGGGCCTCAGTGATCGCGGCGGGAGGTGGCCGGGCTGGGCTGGAGAAGCTAAGCGCCCTGGAGTCGGACCCCAGCCGGTGTGGCCACGCGGAGGGAGGCGGCGGGGGCCGACCGGCTGGGATTCTTAGCAAGGAATTGATGGGTCAGCTCGGGCCAACTTGAAACCAGCTCCCCACCACTTTATTTTTTTTTTGAGAATAAAAAAAGAAAGTCCCACCCTTCCCTCGCCTCATTTAGGGAGAGGAGAGGAGACAGGAAGAGAAGTAAGGAGGGAAGGAGGGAGGGGGAGAGAGAGACAGAGAGAAACAGAAACTCCTCCCCTGTACCCGTTTTCCTGCCTTTTTTTTTTTCTAGGTTCCCACGCTTGACTCGCTAAATGGGGGGGGGGG